AAAAGGCAGAAAAAGAAATAAAGTGACAAAGTGTGCACCGGTACAGTGAGGAGCAAAAAGGGGAAAAAATGTTTAATATGCAATTTAGCAATAACACAAAACAGCACAATACAGCACACTTTTAAAAGCCTTGCCGTTCACTGGCGTTATTTTTCTCCTAATTGCTTACACAACTGATTTTGTTCCCAGGCACACAGCAACAGTGACCGGCGGCGGCAACGGTGCTGACCTTTCCGGTGTGCTGGTAATCAAAGTGTTTAGCTTTAGATCAGAAAGAAAGTTCGCAGTAAACTGTGTCCAGCGGCAGAGGCAGCAGCTGAACAAGGGGAAAGCAAGTTCAAAAAGGACAAAACGAAAAATGTTCCCTTGGTCCCAGAGTAGGCGAAGAAAAACAGCAGCAGCAGCAGGTCATCAGCAAAAGATGCCTCAAATCGATGTGAAAAAGAAGCACACTTTAGAACACATATATAAAACACACCTTCAAACCTGGCAATTAGAGGAGAGAAGCAAAAAAAGCAGCAGCAGCAGCAGCTCTTGGAAAAAGAGCTTCCGCTCCGAAGCCGACACTTCCACTGCCATTACTACTACCACCACACTGCTCAATCGAATTTGATTAATCGTCTATTAATGAATTTTACGTGTTAATTTAATTGCCTACTACAGCAGCAGCAGTGATCGGGAGGGATATTGAACAACAGCAGTACACATCACTTGTTGGAACGAGTCGCGTGATGAATGATGCTACTGCTGCTGCTGCTGCTGCTGCTAATGAATTGTTGCACTGCCCGATTAATAAAGTGATTAGTGTGATTGGTTTGCAGTAGAAAGAAAGAGAGAAAGAAGAGGATCATCAGCATCTTAGCATAGTTTGCTGTACAAAGGTAGTAGTGACCAGGTAATATAAACGGCTAAAAGTTGAACTAAAAATAAGCGTCTTTTAGATCAACAACAGCAGCAAAAACACAAACATTTTGACAACATGTGCAACAGGCGGAAAAGGCTCTCTAGGTGCACTCTTTACACACATTTCTTTCCATTGCAAAAGATATTGCTCATATGATCAGAGCAGGAATTTGTGCCAGTTTCAAATGAAAAAACAAACAGTGTGCAGTGCAATTAAAACCGGGAGACTTTTTAGTACAAACCGAGCAACAGAATTTAGAAAAGCGAATAAAGGCCGTAAAAAAGACACAATGTGCAAAACGTGGAGGTTGCACCACACAACTCTTTCTCTTCAAGGTAATTAAATTTTGTTTCATGACAACGCCGGCAGCAGCTGAAGCAAAAAAAATCTGAGAAGAGAAAGTGGTCTAACAATAGCAGCAACAAAAGAGGAGAAAGAAGTGTGTCTAAACACACACACAACCAGCCTGCGTTGAAAAGTGTCACAAATTCACGGCTAATTGAAGCAGCCGTAGTAGAACTTGGTCAAACACGCGTAGACGAAAGTCTATTGTGCCGAGCAGACAAAGCGAAGCAAAGCAAAGCAAAGTCATATGAAGTGAACATACACTTAGCGTTTACCTTCACGTAAATGGATCTAGCACACACACTAAAATCGACAAGAAAAGCGAAGTGTGAAAGTGTGTGTGCAGCAGGAGTCACACCACTTCACCATCAAAGTCAATAAAAAAAGTCCGGCAATAAAAAGAAAAAAGCAAAATGAAGTGCGCCAACATTCAAACCAACAAATCAACAAAGCGAGACAAAGTGAGCCTAGTCTATCAACTCAGCTCAGCTCGGCTCAACAACTCAAAGTCAAGCCGACAAAATCAAGTTCAAGTGTGAAAGTGAAAATAAAGTTCAAAAGCTAAAAACCTAAAAAACAAGAAAACAGAAGACAAAGCGAGAGAAGGCAGTATTCAACACAAACACGCACCTCACTTAAACAGTTAACAACACTCCAAACTGTTTAGTGTGCAAGAGGAGAAGGAGAAGGAAAAGGAAAAAAATAGGGAATAGGGAATCATCAGACAACAAATTGAAAACAAACATTGCACAGCGTGTCTGTGTGTGTGTGGTCAGAATATAAAAAGAATGGGAAGTAAAATAGGAATATAAAGAAGAAAAANGTTAACAACACTCCAAACTGTTTAGTGTGCAAGAGGAGAAGGAGAAGGAAAAGGAAAAAAAATAGGGAATAGGGAATTATCAAACAACAAATTGAAAACAAACATTGCACAGCGTGTGTGTGTGAGTGATCAGAATATAAAAAGAATGGGAAGTAAAATAGGAATATAAAGAAGAAAAAATTGGTGGGAAGGGAATCGGAAGAAAGAAAAGGAGGAATTTGACTAAACAAGCAAACACCTCTTCAGTCGTCAAAGACAGCAGGAAGATCAAAGCAGAAATCAAGGTGTGCTACCCCCTCTGAATACATAGGATAAATAATAATAAAAGCCCTCATCAGCTCAAAACCTCTCTCCCCCTCCCCCCTAGAGAAAGACGTAGAGGTAGAAGAGGGCCAGGGTAAAGTGGGCGACGAAGATGAAGACGAGCATGATGTAGCTGAACTTGATGCTCCGACTGGGGTCGGAGTGGACGACGGGGGCGAAGGAGATGAGGAGGACCGAGCCGGACATGAAGGCGGCGCAGGCGAAGAGGATGAACTGCAGTTCGCGAATGTCGAGCAGGCTGGCGACGGCGACGGGGATGAAGGCGGCGAGGCTGTAGCCGTAGGCGCAGAGGCACTCGAGGAAGGAGTAGAGCTTGCCGCAGGCGCGCCACTGGCAGAAGGACCAGAGGAGGAGCGGGGCAAGGGTGACGTAGCTGAAGGTGATCAGCATCGAGAGGTGCAGGTGCTCGAAGGTGAAGGCGAGCGGATTGTGGTGCAGTTGTACGGCAGCGGCAGAACCAAAATGAGCAGGTTCTGTACGACAGGACGCGGTCGTGCTGCCGTTTACAGCCGTGGAGCAGAGCGGAAGGTGCTGGTTAGCCTCAAAGGAAGCCGCCGCCGCCGCCTCATCGCCGCGCCACTGATTCAGGTAGGTGACTATGTTATCGCAGATGGAGACGGTAAAGGCGAGCGTGAGGGCGATCCAAAAGGGGCCGTACAGGTCGGGATTGGACTGAATGTGCCGCTCGATGTAGGTGCCTTATGGTGGAACAAGGATAGGTGGA